GAGGTTATGTAACTCACCTGAAGATATATACGGTGGGGAATAAATGGCAGAGTTGGAATTTAAACCTGTGTTCTGCAGAAAACTCTTCCTGTGTATTTAATAAAATATTAACCTCAGCCCACAGTGAACCACCGTCCATGGTTTATGGGAGAGATGTAAATTGGCGAGCTTTCGTACCACAGTAGGAAAATGTGGGCAGGATTTGAATGAGATACCCGAGATGCTCACACAGTGTCTCACTTGTACAGCTGAGGAAATGGTTCTGTGTTTTCCTCTTTAACAGCAGGGTACATTGGGAGAATTTTTAGAGGTTGACTCAGTCCTGAGATCTAAACTTTTCCTATTAATCATCTTCAAGCCAGGTGATTTGTGACCATTTATAAGCCTTTGCTGGATCTTTAGAAAAAGAAACGGGGAAGAGCTAGTTACGACTTGTGGTAGTGAAGTGCAATGGCAGGACTGGCAGTTCATCTGAAGGCATTTTGGGGGAAAGGAGTGAATACGTGGGCTGGGAGCACATCAAGACAGGGTCTCCTTCTGCAGTTCAGGCTGGCCTTGAACTCACTATGTAGCCCAGCCTGGCTTTGAACTTGTAGCAGTCCTCCTGCCTCTGCCTCCTGAGTGCTTGGCTTACAGGTGTGTGCCACCATGCCCAGCGAGTATTAGTGAATATTAAAATTAATGACAGTAGTTTTGTTAGAATTTAAGGGGAAGCTGGGTATCATGGTACACACCTGTAATCCCAGCACTCAGGAGGCTGAGACGGGAGGACTGCTGTGAGTTCGAGGCCAGCCTGGGCTATACAGCAAGACCCTGTCTTGAAAAATTAGAAAAAAAAAAAAGAATTTAAGGGGAAAAGGTAAGAGATTTTGCTCCAAATACACTATTTTGAGAAGAAAGATCCAATGATTGAACTCATGCAAGATGGCCTGCTAAAAGTCAGGTTTCAGTTTCCACTGCATTCAAGAAAACCAGAAAAATAAACATAATTTTTAGAAAATCTTTTTCTCCTATCCCCTCTAACCTTGGGGAGCCTCACATGTGTGCAGTTGGTTAGACCCTTGATGCACACTACGGTAACCACTAGTACTCGGTATGCGGCTGCCAAGCACTGGCAATGTTACTGGTTTGAATGAGATGTGCTGTAACTGTAAAATACATGCTGGAGCTCAAAGCCACTGAAAACGTTACATTTTCCTGTCGCCTGCATGTTGGAATAATATTTAGATATACTGGGTTAAATAAAATATATTACTAAATGTAATTTCATCTCTTTTTACTTTATTTTTGTTTTGGCTGCTTTTTTCCCTTTATTGGTACCAGGAATTGAACTCAGGGCCTCATGCTTGCCAGGCACGTGCTGTGCTCTGGCCTTATTTTTACTTTTTTAATGTGGCTACTAGAAAATTTAAAATTATACAAGTAGCTCACATGTCTACCATGTGGACAGCACTAGTTTAGAGCAAAGGTAATATTCCTTAAAGCTTCCTTCCCGAGCTAAGTGCTTTAGAGTAGGAAATACAAGGTGTCTGTGAGGGAATTCTCAGTGCCCATATTTAAGTCTTTCAGGAAGCCAGAGACAGTTTTTTGCTCTAATGTTTTATGAGAACATTTCCATTTATTCAGTACTTTGGGTACCTAGATGAATGTCTCCTACCAGACACTCACTTGGTCAAACCATGTGTAAAGAATTTTAAGTCCCATTCTTTTTCTTTTTTTTTTTTGAGACAGGGTCTCCTCACTGTAGCCTAGGCTGGGCTTGAACTTGTTACCCTCCTGCCTCAGCTGGGATTGTTGGTATGTGCCGCCTGAGCCCCACTCTTCCTGCCAGAGCTTTTGTCACATTACCAAAGCAATGGCATAACTAGTGTGGCTAGTCTTGCTTGGAATCTGTGAAAACTACCAAAGGGGAAATTACGTGGTTTAAAAAATAGCATTTATCAAATCCAGAAATTTTTATACAAAAGGACTACTGTATTTAATAAACTGTGGTTTGGCTTATTGTTCTGCAAAGCTTACAAAACTTGGATTATTTGACTCCCTGTAAAAAATCCTGAGTTTGATTCGTTTTGCTTTCCACAAAGCACTAGGCCTAGTATTGAGCTCATACAAAGAAAATTAGACTCCACACTAACAAAGGTGGATTTAAAAAATGATCATAGACCCCAGATAAATACTTCATCATTTCATAGTTTTCAAATAAGTTGTTTTTCCATTATTCTTTAAATGTTCTATCACATTTTATCTTTGACGATGTTGGCATTGAGTGTGATTTTTTTTTTTTTGAGTGTGATTATTTTTAAGTTAAAGTGTAGAGAACTCTTGAGGAGAGGGTTGAAAAATATTTAAATTCTTTGTATGCCAAAAGAAAGTTAATACTAACATATACTCTGTAAATACATGCTCTTTACATAACCACTCAGGTATGCATTTAAAGCACTCAGTTTAGCCTGTACAAAAGAAGCACTGTTCCCAACAAGAGGGAAATTAGTGATGGATCATCACTAAACTCTGCTTTTAGCAACTTTAATATAGGTATGCCCTGCTTTAAGAAAACCCAATAGATGAGTTTAAATGCATAATAGAAAAATCTGGGCATTATACATAAGTCTGTTTTGATACATAGAAACGTTTTAACGTCAAAACAAAAAAAGCCAAGGGCCAGGGATATAGCTCAGCGGCACAAGTGCCTGCCTGGCAAGCACAAGCTCCTGAATTTGATTCCTGGTACCAAAAAAAAAAAAAAAAAAAAAAAAAAACCAAAAAAAAACAAACAAAAAAAAAAAAAAAAAAACAAAAACAAACAAAAAAAAACAACTACAAAAAAAACCCCCACAATGTCAAATTTGCCTGGTGTGGTGGTGCGCGCCTGTAATCCCAGCACTCAGGAGGCTGAGGCAGGAGGATCCTTGTGAGTTCGAGGCCAGCCTGGGCTGCAAGGTGAGCTCAAGGCCAGCCTGAACTGCATAGAGAGACCTTGCCTCAAAAAGACCAAAAAAGAAAGCCAAGGAACTGAATACATATTTTGCTCTAGATCTAATGTTGGCATGTACCACCATGCCCAGCCTAATGCTTTAATTTTGAGAAAGAATTCTCCACAACTGAACTCATGCAAGATGGTCTTGGGCTGCATTCAGGACTACCAGAAAAAATATACATAATGTAGAACAATCTCAAGTTTTCTCTCATTGACATCTCGGTGAGGGGTTGGGAGGTGTCACCTCACACTTCTGGGTTGCTTACACCAATGTCCACTATGGTAGCCATTAGCCATATGTAAATTATAATCACATTCATGATTTCCTTCCAATAGATTTCCATTCACTCTATATTTCCCCAAGAGTAGAATTAGGGTTAGTGTTTGGCTACTAAATGTATTTTTTTCTACATTAAGCTAACTGGCATATATGGAGATTAACTGTTGACTATGACCACAGTAGTAATATTTTCTTTATTACCAATTGAGATTTTATCTACCTTACTAGATATACATACAAATAGCATATTAGTTGAGACATTTTATAACAACACTTATGTATAAAAATACAATGAAGCCAGGCGTGGTGGCACACTCCTGTAATCCCAGCACCCGGGAGGCTGAGGTAGGAGGATCACTATGAGTTCGAGACCAGCCTGGGCTACAAAGTGAGCTCAAGGTCAGCCTGAACTGCATAGTGAGACCCTGTCTCAAAAAGACAAAAAAAATGCAAGGTCCAGAGTTCGATTCCCAGTACAAAAAATTATACCTCAAAAATACAATGAAAAGAATCATTTTAAATGGCCATGTTAGTGTTTGGGGCAAGTTGACACAACAGTAAAATATAAATATTTTGGTGTTGAGGGCAGTGTGTCATACTCAAAGAGATACTGTTTATCACTGTACTACACTGAACATGAATCGGTCAGCAATAACTGCACCTGAGACCACATATTAGGGTGCTTGATAAAGAGATTTTATTCTTTACAATTAGTAACATTTCATTTTAACCAAAATCCCAGTGAAGATCAGAGAAATTAAAGGATCTGACACTACTCTGAGGATCAATAATTCCCAGGCCTGCCTGAGGAAACTTTCTGGTTTGCCAAAGCTGTGGGAGACCATTAGCATCATGAGGCAGTTACACACAGTATATCTAAAATGACATGGTCTCATACCCTAAGGGGCTTCATCATCTAACTCAATACAGCACCTGCTAGCCAGATTATACGACAAGTCAGCTCCAAGAATTCCACACCTGAGTGCAGAAGCAATTTATCTACTTCTGGGTAAAGATTCTGGTAACCACTGGAATTAGGCAAATGGTATGGCAATACAGCTTGGACAGCAAGGTTAGTTTCCAAACCAAAAACATGGGAAAAATCTCAGAATTTGAACGATTTAAAAAAGACAAGCCGAACGTACTGTCACATGCTTATAATCCCAGTACTCAGGAGGCTGAGGCAGGAGGATCTCTGTAAGTTCTAGGCCAGCCTGGGCGGCACAATGAGTTCAAGGCCAGTAGGGACTGCATGGTGAGACTTCATCTCAATGAAACAAAAGACTCAGGTAAATTAAACTGCCAGACAGCCAAAACAAATTCTTCAAAGATTTCCACAGCAGGAATAAATAAATCTCAGCTGATACATTTTTATTCAAGTTGCAGTTTGGAATTAAATTCTGAAACAACAGAATTAAATGACATTACATTCTTTATAGTCACCAGTCCAATTTCACTACCTGCATACTGGGGTACAGAGTTGCACAAAAATTGTGTATGCTGAGGAATGCCACTAACTTAGATTGCAGGAGAAGTATTTAACCTTTGTAAATTTCACTTTTTCTCTCAGGAATAGAATTCAACTTTCTTTAACACTGGTTAGGAATACTTTAGTTGCTTCATTGTGTCTTTTTTTTTTTTTTTTCTGTTTCTTTGTTCTGAGACAGGGTCTTGCTATGTTCAGGGTGGCCTTGAACTCACTATATAGTTCAGGTGGACCTTAAACTTATGGTGACCCTCCTGCCTCAGCCTCCTGACTGCTGGGATTACAGGCATGCACCACCACGGCCAGCAGCTGTATATTTTGAGAAAACAAATCCACTGACACTTGGGGTGGCTTAGAATATAAATGTACATAAACACAGAGCTGAAGTTTTACTTTGATAAAAATTTCACAGCTTGAGATTCATTTGTATACATTAAAAAGCTAAAAGTACCTGTTAAATGTTTTGATCAATCTACAAAACTGCATGCCATATTTTTTAATGTTCATAATTTAGAATTTATCACATATTTATAAATATATGCTTTACTTGCAAATTATATTTAAAACATTTATTTCCAACACATTCTTGTATGTTTTAAAGAAAAAATACCTCATTTATAAAATACACTAATAAACTTTAATGCATGATTATACCAGTGCCACCAGATTAGAAAAGAAAAAGAAATATACCTCTGTGTTGGATGTGTAGTAATTACTATAAATAATTATAACACATGTTTTACATGGTGATGACATATATACCCTTTTCCCACTTCTCAGTCATTGTCAGAACCATTTGGAGGTAAGAAGATCAATGCATCACTGAAAGTATGTCCAAATGCCCTAAGACGGTACACCCCATACATCATCACATGCATCTGGTTAGGAGTCAGTCCATTAAAAGTAACAGCCATATCAGAACAGCATCCTTCTACTACCTGGTTGGGGTGACTGCTCATTGCCTCTTTAATAAAAAGCCCCACGGACTTGGTATTAAATACATCTTTTCCTTCAGCATCCTCTGCATTTTCTGCAAACACTCCAGCATATTTCAGGCAGACAGCCAGCTGCTTATCTTCAGATATCTTCCAAATCATTCCTCCCTGCTCAGGACATTTTTCAGGGATATTCAGAAGGCTGTTAAGTCTTTTCATTGATTCTACACTTAAGACAATTCCTCCTTCCACACTCACGTATTCAAGGTCTCCAGATTTTATAGTGTGGCCTATATAGAAAGGTTGTGATGGGTCCTTTTTTAACAAAAAATACTTTAGGTTTTCAATAATAGCAAATGTAGTGGGGCGTGCAAGGAAGAACCAGTTGTACTGGTCGCTATACTTATCAAAGGCGTATTTATAAGCTTTCCTCATCATTAACCACATGTCATTTGTTTCCATATTAACTGACTCAAACACTTTAACATCTTCAGAACTGAAGAACTCTGCTTTGTCACAGTGTTTGGTCCAGGTCTCTTTCACTGCAGCCCAAAGACTCACATCTTTGGGTTTCACAAGGATGATGCAGTATACACGAAAGCTCCTACTAAGCTCCATGCGTTCATCCTCTGAAATTTTCAAGATCTCTTCTTTATTAGGAGCTTGAAGATGATGATGCTCATGGTGGTGCATTCTATTTCCATGACCAATCTTAATGTGTCCTAGCATAGCGATCAAAGCATAGAAAATGCCTCCAAGCATCACACCCTTCAAAAATGAACTGCTTTCAGAAAGCATTTCTCCTATAAAGAAAACAAAGACTCTTAAAATACTTAGTATAGCAATTTGATTTGGTATTCTTTATATACAGTTATCTCTTAATTTTTTTTTAAGTTCCCAAGCTTGAAATCTAGCTGCACATAGTACCAAACACTCTCAGAAGACAGGAGACAGGGCCTCACTATGCAGTGCAGGCTGGCCTTGAACTTGTGACAGTTTTTCTCCCTCAGGCTCCCAAGTGCTAGGATTATAGGTATACGCCACCACATCCAGCAGAGAATCTCTGTCTTCCAATAGATACTGTCCAGTATAAATTGCAACACTGTAGAAGCTCCTTTGTGTAGTAGAATTTGCTGTGAGGAGGCTCTTTTTGCATTTCATCTACAAGGATGTAATTAATCAAGCACTAAATCAAAGCACCAGCCCCTGAAACTAAAGTTAGAGGTTGTCCTCCATCATTCTCTTTAGAGCATTTTGTATCACAAGTTTGCACTATGTTATTTAAATACTGCTGGAAACAAATGTGCTTTAAAATTAAAAAAAAAAGTATTTTTGTATTTTTTGAGACAGGGTTTCACTATATAGTTTAGGCTGGCCTTGAAGTCACTTTGTAGTTCAGGCTGGCCTTGAACTCGCAGGGATCCTCCTGCCTCAGCCTCCTGAGTGTTGGGACTACAGGTGTGAACCACCATGCCTGGCAACAAATGCACTTTCATAACAAGGCGTTAAATTGAACAGATAAAACCATCCATAACTGGCAAATCGCTAATGGTATCTGTACTGATATTTCTCTTTTCAACCTACTGCTTTATTTAACTGATCGCTAATGTGTTTAGGTGTTTCGAGTACATCTAAATCAAGTTTCTTGAAATTAGTATTATGTGTGTTAATACGTACACTTCTGTTCCTAAGATTAAGTGGTTCTAATATAGTACCCCAACTGTTGATGTAATGAAAGCCCATAATAAAAGATGAAAAATGAGTTGATACAGGCATATTTGGAGACCATGAATGATCATTTTTATTTCCTCAAAAGGCATTTTCTTCTTTGATGAAGTAAAAGGGAAAAGTCTAAACCGTTTTTTTTTTTGAGACAGGGTCTCACTGTGCAGTTCAGGGCAGCCTTGAACTCACTTTGTAACCTGGCGATCTTCCTGCCTCAACCTCCCATGCTGGGATTATAGGTATGCACCACCACACCTGGCCAAGTCTACATTTTTATTTCAATTAAAATTTAAAATAAAAGCTTATATTAAATATAACTGCTTGAAAATTGTTCACTACACATTTTTCTATGAAAGGCTGAAATTTTCCTATCTCTTCATCTCCATACCAAAAAAAAGTTCTACTGAACTAAATCTTTTCTTTGCCTATTAAAGGCCACTTTCAAGTGGCCTTAGGAACTAAAGTACTTTCCCTCACTTTACAGTTAGGGAAATGGCAGGCCACAGAGGTTAAGGAACTGACAAACTCACACACGGAGCTAGTCAGTGATAGAAGTGGATTAGAAACTAGAGCAGTTTCATAGTTCTCCCATTACAGAATAATAATCTACACAGTGCTTCTACAGTGCTTGAAAGTTTAGTAAAATAGTTGCTCAATAACCTTGTTTTCTATAAATAAAAATTGGGATCTATTGACCACAGTTTTCATTTTGCTCCCAATGTCCATATGGCTACAGGAGGAAATGGACTTTGACTTTACCAGTTCAAGGTGTGGAACAGACTGGCAGATGTAATTCCTGAGTTGGGAGTGGGGAAAGAGGCGGGATGTTGGTTTTTCCACAGTCCTAAGAGGAAAAGAGAAAGGATATAAAACAAGCCCACTTTAATAACAGAATTGTCAGGTGCAGTCCAAAATGAACTTGTACAAGGTTCAAGGGATTTATATGCGCAGTGTTCATCTCTGGCCAATATGTAATTCACACGTCTCTTCACTTGACTATGGCATATGTATGTTTGGGATTCTTTTTGCGGAGGATACTTCTCTTGGCTGCAAAAGTATTGATCAAAATTCAAGAAGTCAGGGCTGGAAATGCAGCTCATTGACAGAGTGCTTGGCTAGCATGCAAAAGGCCTGCTTTCAGTCCCCAGCACGGGGAAGGAAAAAAAAACCTGAAAAAGTACAAATTTCGCATAAAATCATTTACACAAATTATTCTAAGATTTTTTTTTTTCTCACCAGAGACAAAAAAATGAAACAGTGGGGGTGCACATTATGGGATACTTTGTGCACAGCACAAGAGACCTTAACACTACCCGGAAAAGAAAAAATGCACAGGGAAACGAGGCAGACACCACCCCAGTGGATTTTACAGTCAACCTCTTAGAAGGTGAAGGTGGGTGAGGCACATTATGGCAAAGGGAGGAGGGCGCAACGAAGAGAAGGGAGAGGGACACACACAGTCGGCACCTCAAGACCCCACTGCGGGTCCACGGGACTGGCCCCAGCTCGCGGCTCACGACTCCTTCCCCTGCCCCGGCGGGGGCGTCCCGCGTGGAGCACCACGCCTTCCCCGGTATGTGCGGTGGTCCAGCTGCTCCGGGTGCTGGGGATGGGGACCCGGCCCAGACACTCACCCGCGTTTACAACGTCCGGGGTCAGGAAACCGTAGCCGCGCACAGCTTCCCTCCCACGTTCGCGCACCACCCTTACGCTCCCGGGTGGGCTGCTCTTGATGCAGGCGGTATCCCCTCGCTGGCCTCGCGAAGGGTGGGAAGATCCCGGAAGCTGACGCGAGGCGGGCGGGGCAAAGGAGCCTTGGCTCAGGCGGAGGGCTCCCCCGCCCGCTCCGACGTAGAAGCGATCGCGCGCGCCGCGTGCCCTTTCCCGGCCTCCGCCTGCCCCCGGCGAGCTCGGAGAGGCGCGCCAGGCCGACGTGAGCCGCATGCTCGCCGCCAGCCAGTGGCACGCAGGGAAGCGCGTGTGCGTGCTTAGGAGTCGTTTTCGCCGCTTGTTTCTTCGCTTTCCCAGTGGGGAAACTTGCTATTCGTACAGGTCTCACAATGGGTTCTGTACTGTACCACTGCGACTTTGTACCAGTTTGTGGACAAGAGGGTGCTTCCCCAAGTACTCTCGGACTGCGACCGAAATGCAAGTCACTGAAATAGTTACTGATTTTGAGAGCAAGGATTCCCTGTGGTGCAGGAATGGGGTTTGAAGCCTCGCTGCCTGGAATCTGATCCTGCCTTCACCAAGGGCTGTGACATCCTGGGATTTTTACTGAACCTTCCTGTGTCTCATTTCTTCCCGTTGTAAAGTTGGAAAATACCACAGTAGTGCCTCTCATAAAGTTTGTGAGATAGTGCACAGGACCCCTTTAGCAAAAGTTAAAGCGTCGAGTGAGAATTTAGTTTGTTGTTATACCGTTTCACTAGTGCTTAAACTCCTTCCAGTACACAGTAGATAGTTATTTTTAGAGTTAATGGATGTTAGAGCTACAGAGGAGGAGCCAGGCACAGAAAGGATAAGAAACATTTGAAAAGTCACAGAATAGACAATAACTGCAGAAGTAATATTAGAATCCAGGTCGCCTATTTAAGAGTGCAGAACTTTTGGCTAAATATGTAATCTATCATTTAAAATTTGCTTGTGGCAGTTTTTTGCTAAAAAGCACACGTTCTTATAAATAGTTAAAATATATGATCCCTCGGTTCCATGAAAATAACTGGTGACTGAACCGGGGTATGGTGGTGCACGTGGTGTAATGCCAGCACTTGGGAGTCTGAGGCAGGGGGACAGTGATGCAAGTTCAAGGCCAGCATGAACTACACGGAGAGATGCTATCTCAAAAAAACAAAGCAAAACAAAACCGTAAGATGAAATAATTGGTGATAGTCCAAAATTCTTTTTTTTCCGTTTATACAGCTGTTTTTTTTTCCAATAGATTTTTGTTTTGGGGGCGGGGTGAACCAAGAATCAAACTCAGGGCTTCCAGCTGTTCAGGCAGGCGCTGCACCGGTGATCTACCTCCCTAGCCCTCCAATCAGATTTTATTGGTACATTCTAGATACACATAATGATCCCATTCATCATAGAGAATTTGTACCTGTCCAGGTTACAACTTGTTTCTTTTTTTTCCCATTCCCCTACCCTCTGTTCAACTCCTGCTCCCCTCCTCATTTGCAAAAACTTTGCTTCCATTTTTCCTTTTTCTCTTTTGTTTTTACTTTTCCCTTCTTACCTTTCTCCCTCCCCTCTCCCTTGTTCTCCTCCCCATTTGAACATGTTCTTCATATTTCACAATACTTATATACATTTTGGTCCTAATTTACACTTTCGGTTTCTCACACCAGAGAAACAATGTGGTATTTACACATGTGTTTCTGATTTATTTCACTTAAGAGTATGGTCTCAAGGTGCATCTGTTTACCTAGAAATGTCTCGAATTTATCCTTCTTTATGGTGGAATAGTTCTTCATTGTATAAACAAACCATATCTTTATCTATCCACTAGTTGATGGGCATTTGGGTTGTTTCCAAGGCTTGGCCATTACAAACTGTGTCACTGTAAACATGGGTGCGCATATATCACTGTAATATGTTGCTTTTAATTCTTTTGGGAAGATTCCAAGAAGAATATCTGGGTCAAATGGAACCTCTAGTTTTAGTTTTTTTTTTTGTTTGTTTGTTTTTCTCTGGTACCGGGAACCGAACTCACGACCTTGCGCTTGCCAGGCTGGCGCTTTTTGCCGCTGAGCTAAATCCCCAGCCCCTAGTTTTAGTTTTTTGAGGAATCTCCACAGTGATTTCCACAGTGGTTGCACCAGTCTACACTCCCACCAACAGTGAAGAAGGGTTCCTTTGTCCCCATAGCCCCGCCAGCATTTGTTATTGGTTGATTTTTTGATGGTAGCCATTCTTTCTGGAGTGAGATGGAATCTCAGTGTTGTTTTAATTTGCATCTCTTGAATGACCAATGATGTCAAACATTTTTTCATCTATTTATTTGCTGTTTGTACTTCTTCATCTGAGAAGTGTGTATTCATTTCGGATTAGGCCAGAATTCTTTAAAACACATGCATTTGAATATTGACAGTGATCAAGTTTAAGTACAATGACAGTTTCTGGGAGCACTGAAACAATAAACAAATGGATTATAGGCAATTACTATCCCAAGAGCACTACCCTAAATTCTAGAAGTATAATGGTGCAAAAAACATGCCCTCCACCTTCAGAGACCTTTTTAGTTATTGGGGAAGAAAGACATTAAACAAATCATTATAAATAATAATACAGTGTGATTGAAAAATATGGTGAATGCATTTTTTGGTGTGTCTTTAGTTGTTCTGTAATGGCTGCCACAATGTCCTGAATTGATTAAAAACTTACCTTTTACATTTCATGGTCATTTTGACTTTGGGGAAGGAACAGAATTCACAGGGTGCCAGATCTGGTGAATAAGGTGGAGTAGGACACACTGTAATGTTTTTAGGAGCCTGCATTTTCCTTGGATGGCACCCAGTAACACTGTTCACTGAGTTTTGATCACATCTCCCCTCTCGCTTTTCCTCGCTCCTCTTTCTTTTTGAGACAGGCTGTCCTTGAACTCACTATGTACCCCAGGCTGGCCTCAAACTTGAAGCAATCCTCCTGCCTTAGCCTGAGTGCTGAGATTACAGGCATGCACTAGCATGCTAGCTGCTTTTTTTTTTTTTTTTTTTTTTGGTACTGGAGATCAAACTCAGGAACTTGCACTTGCCAGGCAGGTGCTTATGCCACTGAGCTATATCCCCAGCCCACCCCCCTCTTTTTTTTTTTTTTTTGAGACACAGTCTTGCTATGCAGTTGAAGCTGTCCTTGAACTCACTAGATAGCCCAGGCTGGCCTTGAACTCATAGCAATCCTCTGGCCTCAGCATCCCAAGTGCTGGGATTATAGGTGTGCACCACCACACCTGGAGCATCATGCTAGTTTTTGGGGTCTCGTTTCAGCAAACAACATTAAAAGGATGAAAAAAAATTTAATTGTGTTTTGTTAAATATATGTGTGTACTGTTATATATATAAATATATATGAATTATATATACATATACAATTAAGCAAAAACACTGTAGAATAAACATAAATGGCATTTTGGTAAAAAAAATATGTTATATATGTGTGCACATGTTTGATATGTTGGTATGGGCAAGGAGAATTGTGTAAGGGTACTCAGCAGGCTCTTAATTTTGGTTATATCAGGAGGTTGAAGTGGGGGTAATTAGCTTTCTCTTTGTTTTTTAAGTGTAGCAAAGTTTTATTAAAGGTAGGAAAAGAAACAGGCTCTACAGAGCGAGTTTGGGCCAAATAAAAGTAGGAAAAGAAATACATCCTACAGCAAAAGGGCGGCCACCATGGAAGAGTGAATACAGTGGCCAGCTTTATCTTAATACATCCTTGTATTACAATGTTTCACTGGTTCTAACATACATTTATTATTTTTAAATTTTATGAATAACAAATAAGGGGATTTTTGAAATTAGAGGGAGAAAAAGAAGAAAAGCTATTATTAAAAATACCTTTTAGGCCAGGTGAGGTGGCACATGCTTGTAATCCCAGCACTCAGAAGGCTGAGGAAGGAGGATTGCCATGAGTTCGAGGCCAGCTGGGCTATATAGTGAGTTCAAGACAAACCTGAACTGTATATCGGGTCCCTGTTTGAAAAAAACAAAACAAAAAAAAAAAAACAAAATAAAAACACCCAAAAAACAGAAAAGAAAAAATATCTTCTAAAACGTGTAAGGAAGCAATCTGTTTTCACAACAATGGACCAAAGCATTAAAAGAAATGACACTCAACAAGGACTTGGAGAACAGGAGAGTACCGACGCCCCACAACTCAGAGGTCGAGCTGACTGGGGATGTGAGAGCCATTCGGGAGCTGGAAACCAGGAGGACCTTGGGCAACACCCGGGGAGATCCCCTGGAGGCTATTTTCCCCTGACTGTACAGGCTGCGGTGGAGGAGCGAGTGGAGCTCCGGAGAGGTCTGCACTGAGACATCATGGATTTCATGGGTGCCCAATATTCAGATTCTGTAGAACCGCCTTCGTGGAGAAGGAGGAGCCCCGCGAAATCATGAGTATAGAGGAAAAAGTGGACGGCCCGTTGCTGGACACCGGTGCTGGTCTCTTGGTCCTTCTTTTCAGTCCTGCCCTTCCTACCCCCGTCACACCTCAGTGAGGGGAGTCACTGATGAGGAGGTAACCCGCTATTTTTCGCAACCCCTGGGCTGTAACTACTTGTTGGATCTTTCTGGCATATCTTTGTTTTCCTGAGAAACCACTTTGAGGATGCCAACATGTATTGCAGCAGCCAATGATGATTTCCTACCAATCTGTCCATAGCTCTGTAATGTTTGTATTGTTCCTATGCTATTTCATAAATGTATGTATGTTTGTTACTATGT